CCCAAGGACCATAGTGGGATCTCTGTAGCTGTACTGTACAGTCACAGTAACATGTGTTTGGCATGTTAATTAACTCAGGAGTTATCACAGCTTTCAGAGCTAATTTTGCAGAGAGCACTGAGTCCTGGTTTTGCTTAAAACACCTTGCAGAACCCAACCCAAGGGCAGGAACTGCACCACTGAAATACCATGGATTATGATTTATTAAATACTTGTGAGACAACAGGCCAGCATCAACCCATCAACAGTGCACACCTGAGCTCAGACACCATGTACATGTTCTGATTTCTCTTATTTTTTTTCCAAGAAAAGACATGGTTTTCTGTAGCTTAGATTTGCTTCAAGCTACAACAACCTGCAGTTGAGGTGCCAGCTTCAATAATGTTTCAAGGCAGTTGGACTTCTTCAGTTCCTCACACTTCTGCTCTGGAATATTCCTGGGGATAGCTGTGAAATTTCAACTGATTTGCACTGATCCAGGATATTGCCTTGGGCTTCTTCATGGATACAGAGATAAATAGGACTTACTGCAGAGAAAATAAAGTAGATGTCTAATTTAGTGGGTATTTGTATTGTTTCTAGAAGAATTTGGATGAAGATTGATTTGTCTCTGAGTGGGCAACATTAGACATGTCCCCAGATGGTGACAATGCAATGAGAGAAGGGGGTGTGCACAAAGCAAATGTATGGAATCAGACTGTGCACTCTTTCCACAGTCTTGTGATATTTCACTGTCACAAAGTCTGATGTTTAATCTTGGCCTGTTGCTATGCCTAAGTGCCAAGTTAGAAAAAATAAGCCAAACAGAAAAAGAATAAAGATTCATTTATGTGAAAAAAAAATGCTTCTCTCCACATCTGATAAATAGCCAGGTAGGCAGAGCTGAAGGATCTCCATGTCAAATGAATATTTGAGGTACTGAAAAATAAATTTCAGTGAATTACAGTGAAAGGATGCTAAATGTAGCTTCATTTTTTATTCCTACTGGGCATGAAAAAAGTTTATATACAATAAAATCACTACATAAAACTACAACATGTATGAGATTTAAGCTTATTAACTTGCCTTTCCATTGGTTTTCCCAATTTTGATAAAACAGATTAATCACTGTAGAGTTCCTCCTTATTTGGAATAAAAGGGCTCAATATCCACTAATTTTTATTTCCTGATTTCTCATATTTGTCTTGTTAAACGAGCTCAGTTGTTTGTAACCTTACCCCACTGATGCCATGGCAAATATCTATCAGGAAATCACTTTTCCTCAGAATTGCTCAGCCCACAAGATTAATAAAGGCAGACCACATGGACATCCAACACGCATTTCTTGGCACTCTAAAAAACCTCCTGCCATAAAACACCCTCCAGTTTCTTCCTTTGTCTTCCTCCACTATTACTTTTTTTCAATTTCTGAGCATCATCCATCATCATCTTAGCTCACACATGTTGGTTTTCCCCTGTGACTTTCCTGTGACTTCTTATGGTGGGACCTTTCTTCTCCTTTTATAGGTGGGGGCACTGCAGCAGAATATGATGTCAAGATGAGAAAAGGTGTAGGCAGCTGTGGGCCTCTTCCAGAGTACAGGAGAAGGAGGATGACAAATATTATGATACAACAGAAAATTAGGAAATAATTTAAAAACAAAACAAAAACAAACCACCCAAAAAACAAATAACCCCCCAAAAAAAACCCAAAAATCCAAAATACCAAAAAATATACCAAAAATCACCCCATTTAATTTGGCTTGGGCATTTGAGGAATCTAATGTTTTGAATACTTTCAGGGAATAAAAAGAATAAATTGTATAATCACTCTTAATAGCTTTTCTGACATCTAGGTAATTCGTGTTGAAGCTGTGTTTTATTTCACTAGACAGTAACCACAGAATCCAGAAATCAAACAAAAAAGAGCTCTCAGTGATAGAAGCATGGTGATATGGCACAGAACAATTCTCTCTGCCTTTGTTATCTGTGACCACCAGAAATACAGCCAGGAAGAGAGAGAACACCAAGGTTGCTTTAAGATGTGTATTAACTCTCAGACAACAGCAGAAATACATCTGCAACAAACTTTTGAAACAAAGAATTACTTTATGTGACACCTTCTGAGGATGAAACTGCATTTTCTTCTCCATACATACAGCTAAATGTTGAATATAAGCTGTCAGTAGAGAGAAGGCTCTAGAAAATAAGTAGCTTTATGTGGTTGAGCAGTCTGCAAGGCAGTGTCTAGCACACAGATGAGGGTCACCCAAAACAAGCCCTTCTGATCCCACAGCTAGCTGGAAAATACAGAAAAGCCATATATTTAGTGCATTCCTGAACCTTCACTTGCACAAATACAAACTTTTTTGTCCACTCATACATTGAACCTTTAGAGATAAAACCACCCAGATTTTTGCTGCTTTCTGGAGTCAAGAAACACAACCAGTGTAAGGGTTGCACATTAATTTTGCTCAGAGAAATGTTGGCCTTTTTGCACTTCTCTAATTTGGAATAGGACAGTGAGACAACATGAGCTATACTAAATAGCCATGAAGAAGTGTTTGTAACCTGGTTTACTTTCCATGCAGAGAGATTTACTTAACTCCTGTAACAGAGGGATTTCTCTAGTAGAGAGAAATCTTCTTAAACAGATGATTCAGAGAAGCACTTTGAACTCATGATTTCATAGATCCTGCACTCTCTCTTAGTGTGGTTGAAATTTCCCTGTATGTGTGGCAGGGCAGGTGATATCTGTTCACACATTTGAAGTAAACAACTCAAATATTTTAAAGTCTAGAGTACCATTAAAAGGCCAGTCTTGGTCAAGAGCCATCATACAGTTGTTACATTTATTCTAGTTTGATTGGTTTTGTTTTGTTTTGTTTTTAATATAAATTTATTTTCAGCATAAAATGTCTCCACTTAACTAAATTTTATCCATTTTCAATTTACCTAATTTTGCATTTCAATCATGATCCACAGCACTTCATCTCATTTCAGGGAAAATCTTACCTGATTTCTTCATCCCTTCTCTCCAGACACAGTAATTATCAGCTCTGAGAAGTCAAGAGGGCAGCTCCTCACAGAAACCTTAAGAATAAGTGATTTAAAAATTTGTATAACAAACTATTCTAGATATAATAATTAATTTTCCCCCTGAGCTATAAGGTTTGGGAGCTGAACGTTTTTTCTATACTGTTGAATAAAAAATGAGTTTCTGTTACAGGCTTCTAAAGAAAGTGCTCTGACAAATATGTTACAGATTTCTGCAGAAGTGATTTGGGTTGGTAGTGCAGCTCATTTCTTCTTATTTTCTTTTCTCATTTCATACCTAGCCAAGATGACAAGAGTATAAAATCTTAGTTTTCACAAGCACATAGTATGTGGTTCAAATAGACATGGAATGTTTTTGGAAAACCCTATTTTCCTGATGAAAGATGAAGTGTCACATTAATGGGGATTGCTGCAGCTTAATGGAATAAATGCTACATCTATGATAACCAATAACTTAACCAATGAATGGCTAAAATGCTTTTTAGCTCTTAATCTGTGACCTACGCTTTAGGCTCCCATCAATCTCGGGGATATTTTTTCCCCACAGCTGAACGGAAAAATAAAAACATTTTTCTATTGAAAAGTCTTATTTTACATAGGTAAAAAATTTGCTCTGTTCTTTTTTTTTCCTTTTTGGGAGTTTTCAAATGGTTAAATCCTTTCTCTGTATTCCTCAGCCAAGAAGTGACATGTTGCTGATGAATTTTAGAAGGACAAGGCATTTAGAGGGGTGGGTGCTGCCATCACCTGCCAAGTTGCCTTCCATGGAAAAACCAAATAAATGGGAGTGCTTCCAGCCCTCCAGGACAGGAGGACAGTGCACTGCTGGAGAAATCCAAGCTGGCTTCACCCTGATTATTCAGGGTGTCTTTCAGTTCAAAGGCAAAGAAGTTGGAAGGAAGCAACTTGGCTTTGAGAAGCTCATCACAGACCCCAAGAAAAGATGGATGTTTTGAGAATAAATTGCATCATCAATAAGCCAAAAGGTTTGTTTTCTAATTTTACACTTAGTTTTACAGAACTTTCAGACAAGCAATATCAGTATTTCAAATTATATGGATATTGACTTTCCAGAATGCTGGAAACTCACTGATGTGTTCAGCAGCGGGGCTGCTGAGCATCCCTGGTGTGCAGATTCATTCAACCACTGGTCTCAGCCTCTTGAGAGCCTCTAGACAACCAGATATCCACTAAAATAAAGCAACTTCAGGCAAAAGTAATTGCTTTAATTGCAAAATTTGAGATGTCACCTGCAATTCAGTTTCAAAAGAGTAGAAATCCTTTTAAAACCCTGCTCTGGCTGGGTCCTGGAAGATTGAAAGTGAAGCCAAGTGTGGGGTTACCCTCTGCACAGGGCATGGCATCACTGACTACAGCAGTAACTCACAGGAAAAGAAGCAAACCCACCCAGTCAGGTTTCATGTAACTTTTTATTAAAATAGTACTTACAAATAACAGATCTTACAAAATTACAGAGCCCAGTTTTAGTTCCTGAATTTTACAGCTCAGCTTTAATATTGCCACATATTTACAAATGGTGTAAAACAAGTACATTGGGATCTTTAATACAAAATAAACTTGTTTGAGGGAACAAACTATCTTATTTATCTATACAGAAAGCAATTTTTTTAAGCTACAATTGAAACAAGCTACTACCTTAAACTAAATACTAACTAAATCTCCAAAACATAGAAATGGCTTCATATTAAACTATTCCATGAGAAATGGACCTCACATATGTTACTATATATTGCTACTATATTTTGTAATATTAATTATATTACTTATATTATATTACATTCTAAAAATATATAACCACTACATTGCACTATTACTATATAATAATATATATTATAAGAGAGATCTATGTGATGGATTGCAGCTGGTTCTGTATTTTAACATGAAACAGTTGCAGCACTGGAAAATCCACAATAAAAGTTCATATTTTACAATTTACGTTTCCTTTAGGAGTCCAGACGAGCTCTTTTCTTTGGTGATGTCCCATCATCTTCACCATCAGGATAGCCAAATACTTCAAATAGACCTCTCTGCCAATTAAAAAAAAGGTAAAAAAATGAAGTTCCCACAGTGAAAAAATACATGCTGCACATGTGTTTTGTCCTCAAGTCTTAGGGGTGAGCAATAAAATTCTTGCCACCGTTTTCTGTAGCTGCTTGGAAGGTAAGATTCAAAAAATGCTCAACTGTCAAAGGCATAAAAGATTTATCACTCTCTGTCAGAATCAGAGGTACTGATGATTCTGAGATGTAGAAAGTCTCTGTCTGTCAGCCCCGCTGCCAAAGCAGAAGCCATAATTGGTCTGTGCTGGTTCCAAGGTTGTTTATTCTGTTTATCTCTCACATGTTCTGCTGCCCTGCCCAGCTCTGTCCTGCAGGGCAGCGTGTGGGGCTCTGCCCTCAGTGGGATGTTACAAACATTAAATACCAGAAATTCCCTGGGCTGGATTTACAATAACGTGCCAATATCTGTCACCTACGTTGGACAGTGTGTCCCCAGCCTGAACCTACAGAAAAATGCCAACACCACAGTGAAACATGGAGGGCATGGAGAAGGAGAAAAAGGACAAGACACACCCAATTTCCTCCATCTTGTCCCCTTTGAACCCCTCATCTAGAATCCTAAAATTTTACTTTTGCACCGTGCCACACTTAATTATTACTCATATCAAACACTCAGAGCTTGTAATTGATCCTGTAAGATTGAAAACTCTTTTCCATGGACAGAGATCACAGCCAGTGTCTTTGGGGGCTCTGTACAGGGGGGTTCCTGACCCCCTGCCAGGGTCCCAGACCTGCCAGGGCAGCCAGAGGGAAGTTCTGGATTCCCACACACTTCCTGCATTTTATCTGCTTAAAAACACTTATTAATTCCCTGATGGGAGACAGATTCCACAAAAGGCAATCTCATCTGTATATCACACACACAGGGCACCAGCTGAGCAGGGACGAAAGCCAAGGAGTAGCAACAGTTCAAGCATGCAGAAGAGGCAAAATTAACCTGTGCTGACCAGATTACCAGCAGACTCCAGTCCTGCCTTATCCTCCTTGAACCCTACCCCAGACTAGTCAGGGTTTCACTCTTGGTGAAACTAGTCAGGGATTTGGGTGAATTTGTCCCCAACTAAGGTACCCTGTACAAGGCTATTGCTGACATTACACCCAGTAAAGCTCCACGAGGCTGCTCTGCTGTCCTGCATGAGGACAGGAGCTTCCCTAAAAGTTCTCTCCCACCTTGGGGGCTTTCTCCACTGTGTTCTGGGTTGTGTACATTGGATAGGAGCCACTGGATCTTGCTGGTGGTGCTGGTGCTGCCTTCTCTTCACTGAGCTGCACATCTTCATCCACCTGTGAGACTGCTGCTTCTTTGACAAATGTCTCACCAGCCAACGTGACGGGGATGCTGCAAGAGACATGGGACAAGTGATGGAAGCTTTGCCTGATGTTTCAGACTCAGCCAGGTCATAAATGGCTTCCAAAGCTTTAGAATTAATTGCCTTGGAGAAGACAATCCAGCTCCATCCCTGCTTCCACCCTCACCATAAGCTTCACGAATACCCAGGTGATAATGAGGCAGACTGAATCCTAACTCAGAAGAACAAAGCAAGATTCTGCCCTTCATCAGCTGAGAATTTTCTGAGCAGAACATTTAATCTACTGACCACATCAGCTCTACTCAAACAAAGGTAGATGGGGGTTTACTCTAACCCAAGAAGTTTTCAGCCAAAATGAAATCCAACCCCAATCCCAGCCACCTGCTTCTGCTGTTCTGTGGGAAATTAAAACCCAACCAGTAGGCCTGCAGAATGGCAGTCACTGACAGCCTCATAAGGCAGAAACTGGGCCATACCTGTTCAGTTGCTTGTTTTGCTGGTCTTTTTTGTGCTCATATTTTGTCTTCAGTCCCTGGAATGTGTGAATGTATTTGACAGATTCCAGTGCATCAGAGAAGTTCTCAACTATATGTGCAATAAGGATCTGAATATCCTCCTGAATAAGAACAAAACAGGGTTTCAGTCTCAAATGTTCACACACAGAAAGTCAGAAAGCTTTTAACTTTATTTTGAAAAGTAACTGATTCCTTGTCCAGAACCAAAATATTCTTTTCAAGAACAAATGGGAAGCAATCAGATTTATTCTGAGGAAAAAAGATGAGCTCTAGAAAGAATTATTAAACTTTCCTTAGAAATGGGCAATAGACAATAAACGTCCCAGTCCCATTTGTGACCCTTTCAGTAAAACAGGATGTTTGATATTTTGGAAAATCTATGAGGTGCTGGATGTGCTGGTGCTGAGGCTGCTCTGCTGAACTCACCTTTTGGATGAATTCAAACAGCTCCATGGAGGCAGACTTGAGCAGGTTGCACTTATTCCTGTTGTCCAACACAGCGTTTACTACTGGCTCAAAGAGGTTTCCCCGAGTGATGTAGCGGTTGTAAAGTTCATCTTTCAGGCCAATTATCCTCCTCAGAAAGCGAAGAGCACCTGGGTGAAGAAAGACATCCAAGCATTCAACCACCACATGCCAGGATCTCACCTTCTTGTGGAAGAGTTGAAAAACCTGGCGTTATCCCAAGAGGAAGATGCACCCCCAAAGTGCAGAAGCAGACTTATTGATAGGTCACTTTTCTTTCCTTCTTGGACTTTCCTGCATATTTGAAGGTCATCAGAAACCATGGATTTCTTTCTCAAGTCCAGCAGTAATACATTCCATCATGCATAAAGATAAACTATTAACTCCCCACCATGCTTTTGTCCTTGTTCCCCTCCCAGAACCAGCCCTAAGTCTTTAAAATCCTGGTTCACAGAATTTCATTCACTCTCCATGAGAAGAACCAGATTTAGGACATTATTAAGAAAGGACACAATTTCCACTGAAAAAGGCAAGAAACAAAGGATCCTGTCATGAAGATTTGAAAGGATTCCTGTAGACTTCAAAAGAGACAACAATCCCCTTCCCACAAGAAACTGCATTGGTCTGTGCTTACAGACAGCCAATACCTCCTTTTTTCCTTAATTAAGTTTTTCCTTAAATTACTTAATTGTAGCCTGTAAAACACAGCAAATGAACAGGAATTCTGAGTTCAAGTGTACATTGGTACTGCTACACCTTCCACACAGGACACACAAAGCCTTGAAAAAGGAAATCACGACAGTTCCATACTCACACAAGGCCAGAAATTTGTGTTTGGATTTCATCAAGACCAATGTTCGTCTTAGGAGATCTTTCTTGATGATGAAAATCTTCATGTGATACTTGTGCCGTTCCACACAAAAAGACAGCAGCTCCAAAACTGAGGCAAGTGTTTCTGCTGTTTGATAATTATCTAGAAGAAAAATTAATTCCATAAGTTGTACAAAAAAAAAAAAAGTACCATCAAAGTACACTGTGCTCAATTGCTATTGCAGTTCCTGACATATTTTTAGTGGGCTTTTGTTTTACTGGATTGATTTGGGAAGCAGGGCATTGGGTCAGAAGGAAAAATCCAAACACAACTGTGGCTTTTTTGCCTTTACAGTAAATATTCTTTAAAATTAGACTTGTAAAACCATGACATTATTCTCAATATACACGAAGGAAGTTCATCTTTGCAAAATACTCCATCAAGTTATGTCAGCATTCACAGCTTCAGGAAAGGGATATGAAAATCCTGCCCCCAGAATCCCTGGGGACTTGCTTGCAGCAAGTGTATTCCCAGCAGGCATCACAGGTCTATTGCTGTTACCAGGACTGTAAGGCCCTTCAAAGGGAAAAAAAAATCAAAATTGTCATTACCTATTTCATACCATTCTTCTGATGTATCAGCCAGAAGCGGTGCTGTAAGAACATGAATGTAACGGTCGTAGAAGATATCGAGAAATTCGAATATTTCTAAACTCTAAAACAAAAATAATTTCATTAAACATTGGAATTCACATACAACCTTTTAAATAACAGAGTAGTAACAGAAGAAACAGCCTACAAAGAATTCTACTGGGTTTTTTGGATTTGCAGCACTGTTCACACAAGATCAATTTCTTTATTTTGGGACAAACTTGTGTTTCTTGTGTCTCCAAACAAGCTAGCTGTCACTAAAAGAATTCCCAGCATGGATGCTGGGAATATATACTGGAAAAAACACCAATGACTCAAAGTGCTTGATATAGTGTCCTTAAACCATTCTGAAGTGTACGTAGTTTTGCTCAGAACAACCTGTAAGACATTTTACAGGTATTCTGGTACTTAACAATGATTAAAATCTTTCAGGATTTACCATCCAGATGGAGAGAGCTACGGTCAGAAAGTGCTATGGCACGGACACATGGGATTGTGTGGTTTAATGCTGGCATGATGCCCCAGACACATACCTTTCAGCAGAAAAATTAGATTATTTTTTGTCCTATTTAAAGTCACTATCAGACCACACTCCACTCAGTTAAAAAAATCCTATAATTTTTTATCCTCTGCCCACAGTAACAGCAATAGAGAATACCAGGCTTTTAAGTTTGCCATGTTTTCACTGCCATTCATGTTCTCTTACACTAGCTGTGGCCAGCATTTTCTTTGGATCAATCAGAGCACACAAAATCTCCATTAACTGATTATCTCCTCCAAATTCAGGGTCAGGACGACAGATTATCTGCTCAATGACCTCAGTGATGAGTTGGGTATCCTGCAAAAAAAAACCCAAAGAAAGAAATCACAAAATAATTATTCACAAGGATGGAATGAGTTCCCTACTTTCTGCAATTTTTTAAAAAATAAAACAAAACACAGGAATTTAGGTTTTATTTTGCTGGTTATTTTCCTGTTTGCCCTAAAAGGGTTATATTCAACAAACTCCAAGCCACTTTTACTTACATTCTCACTCTGCTGGGCCTCTTGCATTACAAATTTTTGGATGGTGGCTGGACTAAATTCTACTAGATAAGACAATATATCTGTAGCAGCAGATCTAACTTGCACATCATCCATTCCCTCACAAAAAAAAAAAAAAAAAAAAAAAAAAAAAAGTCAACAAAAAAAAAAAAAAAAAAGAAAAAAAAAAAAGAGGTTAATTTGTTAGAGTAAATAAAGTTTGGCATTTATTATCACATGTAGCTGCAAAGAAGAGGCAGTTTAAAAACTGGAGAACATTTCATTGCAAAAAATTTAATGAGAAACACAATAATGTGGTTACAGAAAAACAAGGAACTAGGCAAATCCTTTCCCTACTATGTTCCTCCTTTGGAAAGGACACAAGGTTTTCTGTGTATTTCAGAGCCCTAACTTAAGCAGGAAACATTCACAATGTCCTACTTACTTAAATATCAAAGACTTTATTGATTTTCTAAGCCTTCTATCTACTATTTTTAAATTTTGTACCTAAGGATCAACTGTACAAATCAAGCTGAACCACAGTTTCTGTGCCCATTTACAGGCAACAAGAATCCAGAATTTTCCTTAAGGGATGTGATTTTATCTGATAATAGAAAACAACAATCAAGCTTCCACATGAAAAAGTCTTTTTCACCTTTTGGCTACCTTGTCACAAGGACTTCATGGCCCTTAGACTACTCCATCATGAAGTCTGAAAAGTAAAAATAGTAAGAGCAGTCAAGCCAGGCTACTCCAGAGCAGAACTGGACATTACCAGATCTGGATTCTGGACATTACCAGAAACCTCCACTCTTAGCAGAGTAAAACTTTCCAATCAGACTTACAGAAAGGTGCTCAGCAGACTAAAAACCAAACCAAACCAAATCAAACAAAACAAAAATAAACCCCAACCACTATATGGCTGTGGGCTTTTCTATTTTTATTAAAACCAGTTCTAAGTTTTCACTTACCATTAACATTTCAAGAATTGGAAGAAATCTCAACTTTGACAAAGTTTGAAGAAATTCATCTCTTTTCTCAGGTAATGTTAAAGAAAAGGCACAGAATTCCTTGAAAAACTTCATCTGGTGCACAAGAGAAAAGAAAAATGTTTTTGTGTATTTGAGTCAGAAAACTCTCTGAAAGGAAGAAGCAGTTACAATTTTACTGGGGGCTGTACTGCCTGATTCTCCAGAAGTACTTCTAAGACTGCAGAACTCTCAGAACAGTTTTACTTCATCCCTCTTATTTAAAGCCTTTGAGGAACCACCCAGACTGCTGACTTACCAATTCACATTGTTGCTCACCAGCTGTAGCTCCATTTGTTAATTGTGCAAAAACTTCAGGCAAAAATTCCTCATCTTTCTGTGAAGCACACAAAGAGAACAAAAATTACTCAGTGCCTTCTGAAAACTGAAATCTGATTGCTTTTCAGATTCACATCCTCTGCTGGTGTAAGATATTTAAGGATATATAGGCCAACACTACACTTCTTGTAAAGCGTTTCATTATTTAGACTCCAAGAAACCCAGGAATATCTTCATCTCTCAAGGGTTTTGGCACTTTCTGCCATGTCTGTCTACCCATTTCTCTGCACCCCTTTACATGGAAAACAGTGTAGTAAATGTCCTTGGAATGAAATACCAGAAGTTACATGTTCCTTAAATAGTTATACAAAACCAGCTCCAAAGTTTTGCTTGGCAATCAAAGAGGACTTTATCTTGTTACAGCCCATAAAAAGTATTAAGATATTCACCTGAAATTTATCAATTTGAAAATACAAAAAATCCAAGGGATCAGAAAGAAGGGAAAGCATTCAAAACATTGTGCGAATGAAAGTGCCTGTGATTAACTTATACAGTGTTCACCAGCTTTAAATAATTTCCAAACTAGAGCCAGAGGGATCTCTACAGATCCCACCTAAGCCTCATTAAAAAACCACTTACCTGCAATGCATGTAAAATCTCCTCTTTGCTGGAGCTGATGAAGGAATTGAGGGTAGAAAGAAAACCCACTTCAACATCTGATGGGTTAGGCATGATGATGGTGTGAATGTACTGTGCCCTGGATGTCTGGCGGATTTTTTGCCTGAGTTCAGGGTCTCTGATGGGAATAACCTCCTGAAGCTTTGCTGTTTTGGTCAAGAATTCCCTGTGCCATCCTGGCTGAGCCAAAGAAGGATCATATTCAAGGCATCCAACAACACCCAGAATACACTCATCAGAAAACATCACCTCGAACAGAATGGCTTTGTCCAGGTACAAAATTCCTCTCACAATGTCAAAGAGAAGATGCAAGCCTTCAGTGTTCTTTACACTCTCACAGACTTGGAAAAGCTGTAGCAGCTTTGGAATATAGCCTTCATTCCTCAAGGCCAGCGCTAGCTTTTTCTTACGGATGCGTGAGAGGCGAACAGAAGCCACCAGCTCTGCGATCTCACCAAGTCTGTGGAGTTCACAGGTGGGAAGGTCCATCAAATGACTGATTCTACCCATGTCTTTAGGCATTCCTCTTCTGACTCGAGAAGGTGCAGGGTGACTGCCAAATGACACCAATACCCAAAGGGGACGAGAGGGAAGCAGGGCAGGAGCCCACGCTGCAGTGCCCTCCTGCTGCTCTGCGCCTGCAGCTGCCTCAGGTGCTCTGCAGTCCCTGTGATGTCACCTGGATCTGAGCCTGCTGGTTGGTCCGTCTCTCTAACTCCCAGGCTCCAGAATGTTGGGCTCATGACTGGCCAGGGTCAAGTGACCAACGGCTGCTGGCTGCTGTTGGCCTTTTAGAACTTCTAGAGCCCCTTCCAGAACCTGCAGAAGGTTCTGGAGAGGGCCTCGTCCCAGGGGCAGGCAGGGAAGAGGGGAAGAGCTTAAGCTGTTTCTACTGGATACTAGGAAGAAATTCTGGACAATAAGAGTGGTCAGGCACTGGCACAGGTTGCCCAGAGAGGTTGTGGTTGCCTCATCCTTGGAAGTGTTGAAGGCCAGGCTAGATGGGGCCTTGAGCTACATGGTCTAGTAGAAGGTGTCCCTGCCTATTGCAGGGGTGTTGGAACCAGATGAGCTTTTAGGTCCCTTCCAAACCTAGCTATGATCAAATTGTCATCATGGAAGCATGCTGGGACACTTCCCAAACTGCCCTGCAGCTGGGGGCTATGGGCTTTTCAGAAGCAAGAGGCTAGGAAGGGAGGGGAGGTCAGTGTTAAGGAAACTTCCCTGTCCAACCACGCAAGAGCTGCTCTGGAGCCACTCTCACATCACCTCACTTGGGACCAAAGGTCTTCCCAGCTGTATTCTCCACTCCCACAAAGTCAGACAAGGTTTCCTTACCAGCTTAGCCCTGGGTTTCCCATAGCAGAGTCTCAGGTGTCCAGATCCTCAAAACAGTTTAACCATGATGCTGTAACTAAATAACAAAATAACAACTCGAGCTGGTGCCTCTGAGGAGGAACCTTGAATAAAGAAACTCGTGTGCTTTTATCCCCTCGCTGTCTGATGTGAAGGTCTGGGCTCATCAGCTCCTACTGTGCCCCTGAGTCTCCTGATGCCCCACAGGTCCCTGCAAAGGGCAGGTCATGGTCCCTTGCCTTGGGCTTGGGCTCCTGCCCCCTCAGAGCTCAACCTGCATCTTGTACTGCAGCTGCATCCCGAGTTCAGCTGCACTGAATGTAGTCTTTAACACCCACCTCACCAACACCTGCTGAGAAGGTGATGCAGCTGCCTGCAAGCTACCAGGGCACTCCTGGAGCGTGTAGAGGACAACTTCCTCATCCAGGCGTTGGACAAGCCATCCAGAGGCCGTGGATGCCCCATCCCTGGAAGTGTGGAAGGCCAGGCTGGATGTCTAGTGGGAAGCATCCCTGCCCATGGCTGAGGGGTTGGAACTGGGTGATTTTTAAGGTCCCTCCTCGTGAAAATCATTATATGATCATCCTGGCAACAACTCCAGCTTGGGATTGCTGGAATCCTCCGGGCTGATACATCTGAATGCTGTGTTCCAGTAACTCCATCAGGGAGATTCATCACCACTGACACCAAATTGTTCCACCCCAACGCAGAGAAAAGAGACTTTATGAGTATGTAGGAATTTCAATGGAAAGAAAAGGCTGATCACCAAAATCCCAGCCTTGGGTGAAACATTCTCTGTAAAAACTGCTTGCACTGGGAGGGGTGTGTGGGCAGAGGGGGAACCTCTGCTGGAGTGGTCAAACCTGTGACCCACCCAGTGCCAATCCCAGGCTCAGCATTGTCCTTTTTTTTGTGGCTGGCTCAGACAGAATTCAATCACTATAATAAAATTTTATTTTTAATTCAGCTGGATCAATTTTTATCCATAACACCATCACATGGTCAGCTGTTGTTTTTCTCTTTCTTTGGCATTTTGAGGTTTTCTTTTGTTACAGTATGAGTGTGTGTAGGGGGAGGTGTCATTGTTTAACATAGCTTGGTTTTTAGAATTAAAGAAAGTGGCTTCTCCAGAGTCCATTCCCCAGCTCTTGCATGTACTAATAGTCATGGAATTCTTCATTGGTGGAAACCAAGAGTACCATCTCCCCAGTATTGCCATTACAAAGAACACACTGATACAAACAACACAGAAATGTGCCACTAAAAAAGATGTTAGACTCCAAGGCCAGCTTTAGCTGAGCAGATGATATTCTAGCTATTCAGTGGAAAAATACTAATGCAATTTTTTTCTTGATCCTCTGCAACTAGTTATCAAGCAGGGCTGGTCTGTCTTCTGCTGGGGAAGAGAAGTAAAAAATGCAAACTCTGAATACCCTAGGTATTTTCAAAAGTACCTTATAGGAAAAGCATGAAAGAGCTCTACATGTCTAGTAAGTATATACTCATTGTGTGCTTATAAGTCAGAAATGGATTTTTTTTTTTTCTAATTGAAATATTTTAAATGTGTTTTAAAAACAAAATTGTTTAATTTCTCAAAGGGAAAGAAATGCAAGGCCACAGAATGCACAGTTGTTTCCATACTGTCAAATGAACTGCTTCCCCAGCAATGCTCAAGGGTTTTTTCTGCATGAGATCAGTGGAAAGTAGAGCAGTGGCATTTATTTGGTGAAGAGAGATTAAGGACATTATGCAGGAGCTAAGGAGATGTACAGCCCTTATTGCAAGAGGTCCAACTGCCCTGAGCCCTGTGTGATCTGCCAGACTGGACTGAGGGCAAAATGGACCTGACTAACCCTTGCAAGATATCCATCATAGAATTTGAGATGTTCAGCAGTCTTTGCTGCTAAAGCAAAGGAGTTTGCTCTGTTCTAGGCCCTCTTAACATGATTAACAGAAGGTTTGCAGAGTCTAGACATACCACCCTGAGGAAGGTAGAAAAGAGACCCTAAGCTGCCTTCAAATATCATTACTATAATTTCATTAGATATTTTCATATGTTTTCATTAGCTGTAGTACTGTAGTCTTATAATTATCACAATTAAACTCTCTTGCCCAAATAAGAAACTCCAGAAACCCACACATTCCAGCCTTAGAAAAATCCCTTTCATGCCCTTCTATTTAGTCATCATCATCTGAGCCCTGTATTAAATTCTAGCTACAAGCATTTCTACACTGAAATCCTTATTGATTAAATCTGTTGGATCTAAAGTTTCTCCCTCTGCATTTTTGCAAAATTGTAAAAAAAACAGAGTTGACAGAAAAAGACACAGGAAGCAAATGTTGGGGTGGATGCCCATTCAGGCAGAAAACTCTCATTCCAGAATAATGAAATTTCAAGCACAAAAACCTGTGGCAAGGCTGGATAAGACAAGTAAAGCTCATTATTTTGTATCAAGCCATAATAAAATCAAGTTTACTTTCTTGCAAAAGACTGAACATGTCAAGACCCTGACCTGGCACAGGAAAATGAGTGAAAGTTACTGATATACTAGAAAGCAAAGTTAAGGAATGTGTACCTTGCCAGAAAATTGTAGTTATCAATTTTGCCATCAGCCTCCATGACAGTGGTAAAAGCTTTCCTGTGTGCTGGGGAAGAGGTTGGAATTTTAAAAAATTTTCAGTCTTGAAGCACTACTGTGTGTTACAGTCAAATGGCAGAATAGCCTTTGAGAATTAAACAGATTGAGAGGCTTTAAAGATGGCATTTTTGGACAACCTGCATTCACGCCTCTGCCTTTTGAATTTGAGTGGCACCTAGGAGCAGGCTGAGGATGAAAATGGTTTTGTTTTAAAATAATCTATTTCAGCTAGGAGAAGCATTATCCTCCTGAGAAATGAAAGGGATCTATGCCATACATTTATTTTCAGGACATAGCTGGGACAGGAGCAGGACAACTGAAGGAAATTTGTGTGGGATGCAGAGGGTGTTCAGCTTCCATCAGTCCCAGCAAGCCAGTGTTTAGGGGAAAATGATCACAACAAAGTAAATTTAGTCCTTCTGCCTACATCAAAAAACCTTCCCAGAAGTACTAAAGTTTTAATTAAATTGCTGTTTTCATTCATTTGATTTTAAAGACCAACTTATCTTCTGGGAATTTTAGCAACCCTAGGATATCAGAGCAGAATATTTTATATAATTAAACAAATCTCACAACAAATTCCAGACTGGCTGTGCAGCACTGCAGTCTCTGGGCAATCAGCACCTTATTCAAAACCTGTTTTTTGCTTAGACTGTGCTTGGTGATGGTGCTCTGAGCCAGAGAAGGGACAGAAACCTGTAAAATGCATCTTTTCCTGAGCATCTGGCCCTCTCTGCTCCCAGTGAGGCAGCCGTGGGTCCAAATGCTGGAGGGTAAATATCACTCCTTTTTTGGAGACACATGAGGGAGGTTTACTAAAAATCATGCCCAACACGCAGGTGAGATAGCCCAGTGCTTCTGGACTCCTGCACAGCACAGCTGGAATGAATCAAAACTGCCTTGAAAAGTACAGCAATATAGACACAAACAACGGATTTGGTCCCCCTGACTTAAACACATTTCAGTTTATTTCCTTACTTCTCAAATTCAGACAGACACCATTTAAATCAAACACTACATTTCAAAAATCATGTCCCTTCTTGAGACTAAAGAAAACAAATCCCTGGCTGCTGTTTACTTTTCAGTACAGTCCTCATTATTCAAACATTATCCAAGGGGAAAAACTAATGTTCTTCATGTAATTATGTTTCAAATATTTCACTTTCAGGTCATTAAATCCCTGGTATCTTCCTTGCACTCTCCAAGCACCCCCTTGTGTTGTTGCTCTTCAGTGGCTCTTGCCTGTGTGCCCAGCCTTCCCAGCTAAGGAGCCACTAATACTGCAATTATTGCTATATTGCCATTAATTGAATACACAGTAAGGTGCTCAAACAGCTGAAATTGCTTCTTCCAAACTGTCATCTCTTGTGTTTATTGACTATGAACTAGAAAGACACTTGCTGTTGTGCTGCTTGTTCATTGCTCTGAAGAAAGACCATGCCAGTTAAACCTTTCTACTTAGAACATCTTGTCAGAAAATTCCTTTTCTTTTTTTTTTCTTTTTTTTTTTTTTTTTTTTTTTT